TCAACAAGCAGCTGAGCTCATGAGAGCTGGAGATATAAACAGGTGAAGCACACCAGACCAGTTGTCAGAGATTACCTGAGTTTGCTGGTGAAAGCACGCTTGATCCTGACCTTCCTTATCTTCTCAGCCTGGACCTTTGACTATCAGACTGCCTAGCCATCTTGATTCTCTGGAACCCCTGATCTTGGACTGCCTCATCCTCTTGCCTTGCTGGAAATCTTGACCTTGGACTGCTCGACTACTCTATGGTTTGCACCTTGGACTTTGCTTTGTATCTTCTTTGCTTTAAACTGAGCAAAGCTCTGTGAGCTTGTTTGGACTTTGGCTATCAGCATTCTTGGCTGCTTTCCCACACAGATTCTCTTTAATAGTGGCACAGCCGCGTAGCTGCACCACCACTGAAATTAATGGGACTTGAGCATCTGCAGATTTTGGCATCGGGGAGGGGGGTGTCCAGAATGGATACTGAGGGGCCACTATATATAACAAACCACCAACCAAAACTTCTATTAAGGAAATGTGTTTTCTAAGGAATTATTATCAGCAGAAGATGGGTACTGGGCTTCAGTCCAATCATCAGTTCCAATTACAGTAGACCTACTGAATGTATGTGAATATGGTACATAATTTATAAAATTCCACTGAAATTAGTGTGTCTACTCTACTTGGGGAGAGCCAGAGTGGTGTAGTGGTTTGAGTGTTGGACTATGATTCTGAAGACCAAAGTTCAAATTCCTGTTTGGGCATGTTTGGCCATGCATGACCTTAGACAAACTTCCTCTGAACAAATCTTCCCAAGAAAACCCCATGATAGGGTCACCATAAGTCAGAAATGACTTGAAGGCACACACCAACAATAACAGCAGCAATGCTCTACTTGAGGTTAGCAATACCGTAAGTTTGAGATCCTTAGTCATTTTTTAAAATTTAGCAAAAGATGCATAGCTTTAATTTGAATATTCATAAAGAATATCTTATTGTATTTGATCCTATGTGTGTATTGCATATATTTGTACTATATATTTTTAGTATTCATACTGTCATCAAGCTGACAAAAGAACCCTCCCCAGTGCTTTAGAATGGTTTGGACTCGGAGAGCTGGTACTTATGCACAACATTTTAGGATGGTAGGTTACATATGGTTCCAACTCACTACGATAATCCCTTGTATGAAACTCATTTAACCAACATGATGCTGCATAAGAACACTATCAGAGGCTGTGGGTGGATAGCAAGAAAAGAAAAACATGCACAATACCTTTTTATAGACGGAAAGGGAGCACAAATAAGAGCAGTTAGTCTTAACATGCAACAAAAATAATGTAATTTGTAATGGTAATAAAGGATCATTTTAGTGCTCCTTTTCAATCATTTTTCTTCACATGTTTAAAAAGCTGTAGTAAAAGGGTTTATGTTAGTATTTGATTATTAAAATAAATAACCACAAAGATTAGCATCCCCAATATGTTGCATCCCTAGTTTCTTATGCAATGCATGATGATCCAGTGTTGCATTTAATACCTCTCTCATTATCAATAATATATATATATATACACACACACACACACATTAAAAAGACAATCTGTTCTTGCAAACGAGTCAGGCATGTCACAGTGGGAAGAAGATGCTGTAACAGACCCGAGATTTCTTTTCTGTTGTCTCTCAGATGAGATGGCTCTGGAAAGCAGCTTGTCTCTTGCAAAAATATACATCCCACCCCCTAATTACCAGCAAAAATATAGATTTAATTATTCAGTGAGCAGGATCTTTGATGCTGTGCTAGTTCTAAAGGCAAATGATATTCTCACTTACCGGCTAATTTAGCTTTCTGCAGCTCAAGCTGCAACATCGCAGGTGCTGTGATCCCCCTCCTCACTAGCTTTGATAGGCAGATTAATGGCCAATCACTATCCAGGATTTCCCCTTACTCTAGAGCTCTTTCCTCTATTATCATCACCATTATTTTAATACAGGCCTTCCCAGTCTGTAATTAATCTGTTAGCTTGTTCCTCTAATTTGAAACATAGCAAATACCTTCTGTCAGAAAGTTATACCTGTGGGGGGAAAGGCAGTGCTTTCACAATAGAGCTACAAAAAGCAAAGAAACAAATTAAGAGGACTTGTTGGCAACCTATTTGCTGCATCAATGTATCTGACACTGGTTTCTGCATGGAAAAGGCGTCATCTTTGTTTTCATCATAACCAACATAAAAGTCAAGTTTGGTGGATTGACAGGCATGCACGGGAGAATGGTAGCACCAGATGCCCAAGTAACTTAGCATATCTTCTGCAAAATAAGTGGTATTTTGCTATAATTCTTGTTTGGGAGGAAACTGCTGGAGGGGAAATCCTAATAATGATATATTGTCTGTAATACAATTATTTGTTTTAAGCATGAACAGTGTGTTATGCACAGGAAGGGGGGGAACTAGTTTATATGAAGAGCCACTTGATGTAACAGCTTACCACACAAATTGAACTACTACTTCTATACTTTGCTGTAAACATCCAAAAGAGAAAGATGGAATGAACTATCCAGTGTTATAAGATAGTTATCACTTTTCTGCATTTCATTTTTTTCTGGCCTTGCTGCCTTCTACATACAACCACATTAATAGCTCAGGATAGTATTTCATCTAATGGTGTGAACTTCAATTCATGAGAACTTATGCCATACCGCCTTAAGGTGCCATAACACTATTTGTTATTTTTGCTTCAATAGACAATGTGACTGTCCCACTCAAAACTGCCCAAGACTTGTTCTCAACTAAGTACATAGGCACCCAGTATGTTCAATCCAAGATTCTAGTTTAGTTATGATCTATAAAGACATGAACAGCATAGACTCTGTGTTGCTTTGGAAACTCTTTCCTTTATGTGCTGCATGATTCCTTCCTTTATCTGGGAATGCCCATTAAATGCATCAATTCTGTTCAGTTATATCATACTATCATCTGGTATATAGAGTCTCTCTGGATCACTTAACCCAGGCCTTCCAGGATGTCAGGTCTACAGATATGAGAGCACATATTGGGCTTACATGTAATTCACCATCATGTGTAGGATATATGGTCTGAGTCAAGACATTTAAATGCATATAAACATAGAAAAACTGGATTTCTAAAATATGAAACACACATATACAGATGTATGCACACATGCCTGAAGCCATGATCTGCACAATCATGTAGCTGCACAATCTACACACATGTGAACTGTATTTCCTCTTTAAATTAAATACTTCTCACTCTCAGGGGCTTATCACACCAACAAAAAACCCAGCTGCTCCCCAACAAGATACAGTTGAGTGGCAAGATGCAGGCAAGTATTACCACATGCAAATCGCTGCCAATTCCACTGGGCGAGTGTAACCTGGCTGCATCCCAGGTCCCTGGCATGCTTCAGAGTCTGTTTTTCAAAAACAGCAAGCTCCTGACTGAAAAGCAGCCTCCGAAGCATGCCTGGGACCTGGGATGCAGCCAGGTTGCACTCGCCTGGCGCAATCAGCAACGACTTGCAGGCGGTAATACTGTACCATTGGGGAGCAACTGGGAGTTTTGACAGTATGATAAGCCCCTCAATAGGCTCTTCTGAATCTCTCCCGAACAGGACAGGGGAGAGCTTTCTATTGTACTGAAGTATTAAGCTTATTGCACTGTGTTCTTGGAACGTAATGAGTACGTTATGAGAACGGAACGTATTTTATCGCACGGTATGATCCTCATCGAGTTCCCATTCTGTGTTCTGACAGTCCCTAGCCTGTTCTAGGAGGAGAAGTGTAAAAATGCATCCTTAGCCAGCAAGAACGCTTTCAGACATCATTCCATATGATATGTGTGTGACAATCCTACCCAGTCTCAATCTGTCCTCATGTTCTGATTGGCTAAGACAACCTCCTCGCCTCCTGTCCTAGAACATCCATAAACTCAACTCAACTCTACCAGTGTTGATGCAAGGAAGGTGCCACAGGCAATTTAAATTTTTAATTTCTATTTTTGTAGATTGAATTGTGTCATGAAAAAACAATGAATGCTCGCTACCTAAACCTCTCAGTAGCATTCTTTCCAATGCAGATATAGGGGTTTTCGCAACAGTGAGCATGCACCAATGAGGGACAGCTGAGGAACTACTTTAGTGCCGGTACCAGTACAACAGTAAATGCAGTGTGATAATATGTGTTTTCATAATGTTACTATCCCGTTATCAATAGTTTAATGTGGTAACACCCGTTCCCATATTGTTACGTTCCAGGGACTCGATGGGAACGTTACAGGTACTGGTGCGATAAGCTTATATGACTTGTATTTTAGATTGAATCCAATCTAAATCTATCTGTCTAGTACAGGGGTCGGCAACCTACAGCCCGCGGGCCGGAAACGGCCCCGTTCGC